AAGATCATTTGTCCCAAATTTTGGGTAAATGGAATTTGGTACGAGTCAACAAACAAGTAGAAATTTGTCATGTTTTTGGTGTGCTCTAAAAAATAGTCATTGCTATTGTTACCTCCAAGATCAATTTCAGTGTGGATTCTACTTTCTACTTTGCAAACATCCTTTTTCAATTTTTTTATTGGTTTTTGTGCCTCTAATCTTTTTTTTATTAACTTGTGTGCCTCTAATGTTAAAATCTCAAGTCGAGTTATATCAATTCAAGAGGCGGTTCATTTGAGGAAGTGGAATGTTCACCCGGCCTGAGGATCAATTGCTAACAATTAACTTGTTAACATTTGAGGAAGTGGAATGTTCACCCGGCCTCTAATGTCTTCCTAACCATTACCCTTGTAAAAAAAAAAAATTCAAGAGGTGGTTTTCAAGAAAAAAATATTCTAAGATATGTGTACAGAAAACAGGGCTTTAAGTTTCGGGAACAAAGCTTTGATGGTATTCTTTGAATTGGAATTTTGATCTCCTTCCTCAAGGTCGATCTCCTTGTGGATGGCGAGAAAGACATTGGATTAAAACTTAAATTTGCACCTACAGATGATTTGCAAAAGGGTGGGATGCCCTCCTGTAGAATAAATTACGAAATCTGCCTTGAACAACTCCAAGAACTTAAACACTACTGTGAATTAAAGTTATTAAGTCCTAACTAAACTAAAAAGCATGCAATTTAAAATAAATTTACGAGAACAAGATATATCCAAATTAAACTAAACATGTTCATTGTTAAATTAAAATGCTATCTACTGGCAGATTTGGAAATTAAACTATTGCAGAATTGGAGATTTAACCTTAATTAAAACTAAAATAAACATAAACAGTGATTAAAGTAACATGCTTGAAACTGAGAAGAAGCATGAACATCATACAAGTAAACATTTGATGAAACGTTACTTATCATAAACATTAAATTCATTACAGTAAAAAAAAGAACAATACCTTGAAGAAATTCAAGAACTTGAAGTTCATTACATGAAATGAAATTGCTAAAGCAAGTGCTTGAACTAGTTTATCTACTGGAATGATGAAAAACAACCTACATCTATTGGAAATTGTGTTGAAATCTGAAATCTGTAAGCAATTATAGAGAAATTTGTATGTTTTGAGTAGGGCTGGCCGTGTGTTCCCTCTTCCAAAATTTCCTTTTTGTTCTCCTTTTGCCGGCAGTAACCCCGCACTTTCTGCAATTACAAAATTGTGGGTGGTTTCTTAAGGTAGTGGGATAGTTCAGCATTTGACCTGATCAGATCTCCTTCCAGATTTTCGCCACCCATGCCCTTATCTGATAACTCCCTTCTATAACTGCAATTTCCTCGTATATTTCAGTTAAAACAGTCACTTTTTGACTCAAAGAAATAATTACATGGTAAAATCTTATCTTTATCTCTCCTTATTTGTCAATGTGGCAACTGATCTGTCATAGAGCCCAGAATAACAAATCTGACATGGCAAAATCTCCTCCATTCATTAGAAATTTTTAACACATGGCATGATCTTAAATTTTTGCAATTTATGGTG